AAAAGAATGTAGATCAATCTATGTAATACAAAAAAGAAGTCTAACTATATTTATTTTGAAGATCTACATCTGTATTATTTATTTAAAAAATATTAAATTAAACAGATTTATTGTTGATTGTAAAACATGTGACTAGTAATAAGCAGTATAGTAGTGCGTTTTTTTTGGAAGCCACTGTAAGTCATTTTATCTGCTAATACATCAAGAAAGATGGTTCGATTTGTGGGAATGGAAGCATAAGTGATTTAGGATGTTCAAAACATTTAATACCCTTCCTAAAACAATATACCTTGTTTGTAAGATAGGAACCTATTCTGATACTGGAATCTGTAACACACATAGGAGAATTTATGACTGTGCTTAACACAAAAATAAAAAAACTAAAACAAAATCTAATATGATTAAGACTTAGCTGAATAACGAACTGAGCTGAAGTATTATTTGTCCTGCTCTATAGAATCAAAGAGTTCCTGAATATTGTCATCTGTTCTTGGCTTATACATATGTGAAAGTTCTAGTGTACCTTCATCTCCAAAACTAGTACTGTTATATATCTAACAATTAATTTGGTATGAGTATTGCCAAATTTGTTATCCTCTAGATCCTATTCTTTTTTACAGTATATCTGCACTAATTACTAATAATTGCATTAATTATTTTTATAGCTGATTTAAGATCTAGTATTGCTTTAGCATGAGATTTAAAGCCAAAGAGCAATAAGGATTGGTTTTGAATTTCTATAAACCTTTCACGAGATCGCATAAATTATTCTGATGTAATATTGCCAGAAAGAGTATGCTTGTCATCCATGTCAGTAAAGCCTAGTATATAAAAATGTTCTTGTATAACTTTTCAATGATTTGCTGAATAGGATTTACGCAAGTTCTCTACCACTATTTTTTTCAGATTCTCCTCAGTTTTATAGCAGGCAATTTTCCATTGTATATTTTCTTCAACTTTCAATTTCTTTATTGCACTCTTCTCATTATAACCTTACCTTCGAAAATAAGACAACCATAAGAAATGCTTCTGAGCTTCAGGTAAACTAAAATTTTTAACAAATTATTTATTGCAAATATTATTCCAATCCTTAATACTCATGTTTTTACAATAAAGATTTCACATATAAAAATGTTTAAGTGCTATAATATTTGCAATAGAATGCTTTTGATTGAATTTAAGGATTTCAGCTTCTTTAAGACTAAGTTTCCAAGAAGTAGCAAATGCGTTAAAATCTGCATTCTTAATAACTAATATTTCAACCCTAATCTTATTGCAGATTTTTTACGATTTCCTATAACTTCTTGGTTTTCATCTATTTTTATAATTTGGAGAGAAGTGCCTGTACTGGCTATAAAACTATAAAGCTTTTCAATAAAATATCTTATAGAAAGACATTTCTGATACTCAAATTCAATAAAAGTTATTATAGCTAGAGACTCATCAATTTTATAAGAAATGGTATTGTTATCTCATTCACAATAACCTTTTATTACTGTAAGTAAGTTATTAGGCTGAGTACTAGTAAGTTCTGTCTAAATATTTTTATAACCTGATAGGTAAAAAAGTTCGTTAAAATTTTCTGATAGAATATAGAAATAATACAGCGAAAACAATCACAAATTCAGTAAAGCATTTATGCAAGAGCTTCAATATAAACTGGAATAGCAATATTTGTAATAGTAATAAATATATCAAAATGGTCTATAACCTTGAATTATATTATTACCTTCACTGTATTTAGAGTTCTGCACAAATCAAATCAGATCAAATTTGATTCAAATCTGATTCGACTTAACTTGACTCAAATCAGATTCGATTCGATTTGACTTGACTCAAATCAGATTTGATTTAATTTGATTTGACCCGAATCTGATCTGATTCAATTTGACTTGACTCAAATCAGATTTGAATTGATTTGACTCAATATGATTCGAATCTGATTTGATTTGAATTTGAATTCAATTTGATTTATCTCGAATTAAATTCGATTCGATCCAGACTATTTTCTAAAAAGATGTGTTTAATTTTTTTTTTAAAAAAAACAACAAATTATTTATTAAATTAGAATTTACCTTCATACATGATTCCAAGTTTTATAAATTTTAGATCGGTCAACTAAGGTAAATTAATAATGTTTTTTTTTTTTTTTAAAAAAAAAATTAAAAAATAAAAACTTAGGTTTACCTTGATCTGATCCTAAAGGTTTAGTTTTGAAACATTCTACAAAGGTAAGAATTAAGTGTTAAGATAGTATTATTATAAATAAACGAAATTCTCTATTATAACTTATCTCTTCCAGGAATCTGAGGATCAATTTTTTTGATCTGGAAAATGAATGTGGGTTGGTAAGTTTTATTTTCTTTAATTTATATAATTATATATTATAATTATCTTCTTTTTAATTATTTTAATTATTAATTTTTTTTTAAATATTGTAACATCGGTCAGTGTTATATTTTAGTATTTTTTTTTTTAGATTTTTAAGATAGTATTTTATTTTTTTTTAATTTTTTTTTAGATTTTTAAGCGATCGCATCGTTATGCTAGTTTTAGGTAACTTATTTTTTTTGATTTAGGTAGGTTTTTTTTAATTTTATTTTTTTAATTTTTTTTTAGTTTTGATCGCATCGGATGCTAGTTTCGGTATTTCTAGCATCAGTGGTATTGTTTTTTAGGTACTGATTTCAGTATTTTTTTTTGGTTTAGATAGGTTTTATTTAAATTTTTTTTTTAATTTTTAGTTTCGGTCGTTTTAGGTAGGTTTTTTTTAAATTTTTTTTTTAAATTTTTTTTTTAGTTTTTGATCGCATTAAGTGCTGGTTTCGGCATTTTAGGTAGGTTTTTTTTAAGTTTTTTTTTAAATTTTTCTTTTTTTTTAGTTTTGATCGCATTGGATGCTAGTTTTGACATTTTTTTTTTTTTTAATTTTTTTTTTAGTTTCGATCGCATCGGATGCTGATTTTGGTATTTCTAGCATCAGGTGATGTTATATTTTAATTTTTCGAGCTGGTTTAGATAATATTTTTTTTAACTTTTTTTTATAGATTTTTAATCGCATGTTTTTTTAGATTTTTGTGTTAGATTTAGGTAATATTTTTGTTTTTTTTTGTTTTTAATCTTTAATTTTATTGATTTTCAATTGGAATGTCGATTGATCACATCAGGTGTTTTTTTTTATTAATTTTAAATTTTCGATCACTAAATGTAAATAATATTCTTTTTTTTTGTTTTTTTATCTTTATCTTTTTTTAACGTCTATTTATAAGGTAACATTTTTGAAGAAAAAATAAAAATAAATTTTATTTATATTTTAAAAAAAATAACAAAAATAAAAGCATAAATAATAATATATAATAAAATTAAAACTATTCTTTTAAAATACTTGTCCACTATGATTTTAAGCACATTGATGCTCTAATTGTTTTTCCTGCCAACCTATTTCTATTATCAGTAATCAAATTTTTACTTATAAAAAAACATTGTTCAGATGGAACACTTGTAGATAGTATTGCTAAATAATCTTGTGTCATTTTAGCAAGGCCTGGATATTGTGTTTCATTAATTTTTACTATTCAAGTGGATTTATATTATTATTTGCAGTAAGGAAATTAATGTATAAATTAAAATCATTATCATATTTTATATGACGTCATTTAAATACTTTTGACATAATTGATTTTTTTTTTTCAGAATTATCTATAGCAGATATAGTAATTTTATAATTTGTATTATAAACTTTTAAAAAACTAAAAATTAAAAAATTAAAAATTAAAATTTTTTTATAAAAAATAAAAAAAATAGAAATAATTGTTAATTATACTAATCTTTGTTTAATATTATTAATTAAATCATTCTCTTATTGAAATCATGATAATATTGTAATTTTAATCTTAGATCTAATATATCTAATATAGTTACAATTAAATAAGTATCATTTGTTTTAACATAATATTTTAATAATTTAATTTTAGCAAGTATAG